CGTTCAGGCCGACAGAACATAACCTGACTGACAACATCATTGAATGGATGCCTGTCAGCGAAGAGACGCAATAATCCGACGGAAGATACAATAGGCTAAAGCGCTGACCTTGTTACAGGTCCATGCGCCCAACCTGAAAGGAGAATATATCATTTCTTGAGGAACTGGAAGGTGCTCTGCGCGAAGTGCCGACTACGGAGTCCCTGATTCTATGAGCGATTTTAATACGCATGTCAGAACATACACTGCAAAGTGAAAAAGCGAGAGGAAACGAGCGGCCCTAGCGACCTCAACAATAACGGCATGAAGTTGTTGTGGTAATGTGCAAACATCGGACTGCCCATTATGAACACCATCTTCCAGCATCGAACAGCGCATAAGTATACATGATACAGGGGAGCTTGTGTACAGAAGTCGATGATCGATTTGATAATCGTATCGTCTGACTTAAGACGCTCAGTAATGGATGTTCGCGTTAAGAAAGGTGCAGAGCTATCAACCGATCACCACTTTGTTGTTAGCACGCTAGGCTGTAAGAAATAGAGCACCATACGAAGATCGGTGGCAGAAGTAACCAGAGAATCAAATGGGAAATATTACGGAAATTTGCAAACATCGCGCAACGGTTTGAACAGACCCCATGATGAGAGTCGGTGTGGAAAGCAACTGGAAACTCCTTAATAGCGGCTCACTCGGGGCTGCTGCCGAATACTGCGGTGGCTACTACTTCTGCCCGTTGCGATTAGTAGACAAACGCAGAAGCAGTGGAACAGGTGCAAACGGTAACATACCTCGAAATCGTACTAACTGGTGATGGAAAATTGGGAGAGCTCGGAAGGAGAGCTCGAACTGGCCAACGGTGTTCTGCGTGATCCAGCCGGAACCGTTGTGACTAAAGTGGAGCTGAAGACTGAGCTCGCAGTGGTCAAGTCGATCTTCGTCCGATGTTCATCTTTGGTCATGAATCGCGCGCCATGGTTGAAAAACCGATCGACCGGGCTTACTTGTCTCGACATAGTGCGGAGTAGGGATATCCGAGAAAGCCTCGGTGTAACGGTCACTGCTTCTTCATATTGAGATGTCACAACTGCAATGGTTTGGGCACATGTGGCGAATGCCTCCAGAAAGAAACGCGAAGCAACTAATGCTTGATCAGCCGACCAGCAGAAGACCCAGGGAACAGCCAAGAATATTCTGGGCAAGTGTGTCGAAGGACAGCGTTCACGACTCGGATTATCTTCTGCCGAATCCTAAACGCTGGCATAGGATCATTAGTGTTGGAGACACTGTCTGGCGCGTCCTACTCCGCGAGCCAAAGAGGTAATTGGTCATCGAAACTGACCTAACCGTGAGGCACTTGCATCAAACAACATGGCCGTACCGCTAGCTTATTCTGATCTAATCACAGCAGAGCATGATGATGATGTGCCTGTTGTTCGCAGGGGAATTACATGCTACCCATTTTTCGGCTGGCTGCCCCGAAGCAAAGTCAGTGGATTTTTCTCAAATGCATTACTGATAAAAAATGTTTGACTTTCTGGGTCCCATCTCGACCCTTCTAGTGTTCGAAGCCAACTTTTTACCAGTGCCCCGCACCGCACTCATCAAGCAGGGAACACCAAACTTCGTCATTTGCCGACTTTTCTAAGCGATACATCAAACTAATTCAGCGCACATGTACAACTCTGAATATAACCAATGACTAGAATGTTAGGACAGACATTCCAGTTCGAAACAAACCGGAAATAGACACACTGGCCAGCCACAACCAAACATCATGCGATCATGAAATGTTTACAGAGACGCAAATGCATTTCATTCTTTGGTATTAACTGTTTTAATGGCTAAAATTCGGTATCCGTACGAAAATACCCTATAAACGGACAGTAATAGAGATCTCACTATCCGAGGCCATCTTGAATATGTAGACCATGTTGGACCAAATTCAAGCTTCGTTAAATTTAAATCTTTAAATTTAAGCGGCACAGTAAACATAAAAATTTTTTATACAAGAGGAGATAAAACCTTGTAATATGGTATTCGAAGGAGCCAACCATAAAACAGTGAATTCGATTTTGGGATATTCCACAGAAATCGAAAGAATACTACAGTTAGACAAAACGAGTCTGCAGGTTATATGCTAACAGTAAATGCAGTCCAGAGGTAGTAAAGTTCGGTTACTTTCCTTTGACGTGTATTAAACAGTCATAAGCAATCACTGCTATTTTCCATTTAGTGAACAATTGTTTTGCACGTTAAGTACCACGACATCCCGTTGGACAAACTCTGGATGGATAATCATTAAAGTTACCGAAGATATGTCATTTGAACTGCCCAACAAATGTTGAACTCCAAAGAACGGATAGGGCTCAATTAAATGGAGGGATTGTTTAGGTCAGAAAGAAGACCAATGTCACATTTCCTGCAATCCGTGAATATCGCGTGAATGTAATAAATTTTACGTACTGTAGAAAAGAATCATCTGTGCATGATCAGCCCATTGGCTTTTACGCTGTACAGTTACGATTGAACGATTCAGAGGGCTCAAGAATTACAGCTTTATAAAGAAATAAGATTCGATCACGAGGCTTTCGTAGAATAGCTGTCATTAATGAATTTTTAAGTAAGCATCAGTGGGGATATAGATGCGAATTATAAACATTTTGCCAATGCCATCAAGACTGCCGTTAGAACATCTAGCCGGAAAAGATTCTGCGAAACCAACGAATCAACTCTTCAAGAAGGCAGCCTATGTGCAGAAAAGACCAAATGGTGCACTGAAAAAATTGACGGACGACAACAAAAATTACACGAGGACTCGATCATAGAAGACGATGGAATGGAAGAAATACCTGCCAGCAGTGAAACGAAGCATCTGCCCACAAACAACGGATTCAACGACTGAAGGACGAAAGAGGAGTAAAAACTACTAATTGAAATCGGATGAGCGTAATCTGCACAAAGTGTGACAACACAGTGCTCTTCCAAGGTAGGAGCGAATCGGAAGTTTCACACTTTGCCTTAGAAGCCGTTCCTGAAGTCAACTGGGATGAAGATGAGGAATCACGATCATTGACAATGACAAATATGCAGACAAAGACGATACAAAACCAGAATTACTTAAGTCACGAGGGACACTCCTACTGAGAGCCCTTGCCGGGCATTTTACGGACTAATACATCAGGCTAAACAAAACATCAGTGATGTGGAAGGCAGGAAAAACGATTCCACTTCTCAAAATTGGCGACATCAATGACCTCAGAAACGCTTGACAAAATAAATGCATGTCGCAAATCTTCTACAGCCTTCAAATGCATCATTTGTATTCCGTAGACCATCGAACTTATCGCAAATCGGGAATAGAAAG